TCCTGCCCCCACCCACCTCCCTCCTATAAACCCAGTATCCCAGTTCTACATTGATTGAAAAGTTTATTTCAAGAAGGTGATAGGCTGATGAACTACTGTCCCTCATAACATGGATAATTCACAACCATATGTTTTGGTAGTCTATGATATCTATGATGCTTCATCTGTTTTTAGTTTCTGGAAAAAACCTGAGATTATTTTTTTAATCTTTTAATTAACATAATATCTTCCAAATCTTCCAAGAGTTAGTTCTAGAGTACCTACTCAGAGACATATTATTTCTCTATCTTTTTATATCTCTGGCATTGTACCTAATATATATCTTTTTACACTAGAATTGGAATTTCAATTGGAATTTGGGCCAATTTCCACTGGGAATGAGTTTTTTTGTCCGATGTTCAATGGATTCCAACAAGGAATTTGGGCCAATTTCCAATAAAAATTCCTATAATATTGGAATTCCAAGGGGTGTGTCACAGGGCTTGAATTTTATCGCGGCAATTGCCGTAGAGGGAGAACAAAATGCCGTGGATCATTGCGGCAACGACAGCAATTTTTTGCCGTATAGTATAATTTTTATACTATTAAATGTGCATTACTATTTTGATACTTGAATTCAGATGTTGAACAAATCATACGTAAACTACTATTTTAGTCTGAGTTTTCTTCGAAACAAAAACACTAAAGAAATACGTAAACATGTTTCTAGCTGATTCCAGCAATCATATTCACCTGAGTACATTATACTAACACAGAAAAAATCATTACTGATTATTAGATTACATTGATATCGAAGGAACTAGATTCTGTTCCGAAATATCACATACTCGAACCGATCTGACCGCGTAGCTCAGTTGGCAGAGCGTTGGGCTAGTATTCCAAAGGTCGTAGGTTCAATTCCCACCGTGGTCAGGCATATTTTTCAAGCTTGCCCGGTGTGGATATACACTCAGAGTAACATCACAAGCAATCATGTTTCTAGCTTGTCAGCAATCCAAGTAACGAAAAATAAAATTTTTATTACAGAAATTTGAAAAAAGGCCGTGGAAACTGCCAAAATTGCCGTAGACCACTGTTACGATCTACGGCAATTTTTAACGCTATTGCCGTTGATTGATTTCAGGGAAATTCGAGCCCTGGTGTGTCATAGGCGATATAGGAATCATTGTTTCATTGTTTTGTTGGTGGAAAAATTATATCATAAATACAATATTGCCTATATGCATATGAAACAAACATTAATAATAATAATAATAATAATAACACTTTATTTATTGAGGATAAACAGATAAAGTTACAACTTTTTTCCAATCTGGTTCAAAGTTCATTAAAGTTCATGTATCCTAATAAAATAGATCATATCCACTGCAAAAAATTTGACTCAAATATAGATGAGCAATTTCCCCCTTTTTTTTTACCGCTAGTATAAAGTAAATCTTCATTAAAAAAATTGAGCGAATTTGAAACTCTACTAAAATGTTTGAGTAGTCTAAACTTGAGCAATTTTACTCTAAATGTTGATTCATTGTGGGTGCCTTATTTTATTCTTACGTTTTAAGTCAAAATACTCAGGAATTTTTGGCAGTGTTCATTGTGGTCAAATCTTGTGGTTAAATCTTGTTTTTCTCATCCAGTGTTAAAAAGTGCATACTATGATATAGAGAATAATACATGGGTGCGCGGAAATACCAGATTTATTTCGAGTGTTGAACATGATATCTCACAAGTGAGCGCAGCGAACGAGTGAGATATCATGTTCGACACGAGAAATAAATCTGGTATTTCCAAGCACCCATGTATTTTTCTGTTTATTATATAAACAAAATTCAGTGAAAAACAATAAAACGTCAACAATTGATATTTTCACACGTAAAAATATCGTATTTTTTACGTGTGTTTAAATACGATTTTTAAATACGATTTTTCTCAGTGGCCAAAAACTCTATATAACACTCATCGGTTTATATAATAAAGTTGATTTCATGCTTTCTGCGTTTAGTTGGAGTGGTTCAATGTTTAATTGGAGTGGTTTTGGTCGATTGTCATTAGAAATTGTTTTTTATAATTATACTTTTTTAGTCTTTGCCGTGAAGGAGTTATATTGATGCATATTTTCTAATTAAATTTGAGGTTTGCACTTTACAAGACTTTGGTCAAAGAAACTTCAATATTGCTACGTGCAAAAAACCACAATTATTGGCCCAGCGTTGCTAAGGATTTCTAGAGAAAACGGGGTACCGGGGGGGGGGAGGATCTGTGGTGTTTGATAGAGCAGTTTTCTCGTATGTTCGCTTTTTACGAGTGATGTCTGCCCATAAAATTTCCCCCTTTAACAGTTTTCGTTTTTTGTTGTCATATTATCGCAATTTTAAGAGTTAAAATATTCCCGAAACCGTGAAATTTCACCGATGTCGTGACAAGCGAATCGAGGGACCTGAATTACTGATACGATAAGAGGGTAAGACAAATTGGCTCTACTTTCGCATACGAATGTATATAGAGCCTGGCAGATGGGTGATTGCTAGATAGTATACTTCAAAATAAGGTTTCCGTTTTTATAACGTTGAAAAAAACTATCCTAACGCAAAACTAAACCCTAACCTAACCCTAACTTATTTTAAAAATTGGAAAAAAACGGAAACCTTATTTTGAAGTATACTAACTAGCAATTTCTCTGGCAGATGTTTTTCAGAATAAAACCACAGTAACTTCGGAATGGTTTAAGCATAAAAAAATGCTTAATACCTTTCTTCATTAATAACATTAAATGAATGGAATAAAATAATTTAAGGTTACAGGACACCCTATTTGGCGTTTTGCGAAAAATCGCTACTGCGCGCTCAAAATCAGTCCGATTTTCATCAAATTTTCACCAAATGTTCGCCAGTGCATGTAAAATATGGCAAATTTATAAAATGAACAAGCAATAAAATAATGTAAGAATTATTCAGGAAAATCTTAAAGCGCGGTACCGTTACGCTTTTGAGTTGTGCTCCTGCTGGTTTTAAGTTATATTTATGAAAATATCATTTTTAAACAGTAAAATAGTTGTTCTAAAAAATGGTGTTCGGAAATTTTTGTTTATTTCGTCATTCCGCTGATATGGCGATTTCTTTGACGACTGCAATACATTTCTGAATTGTGTGAGTGAATTGCTCTATATTATTAAAATATCCAAAATTAGAACAAAGCCGAACACTCTTTTGAAACTGACGTCTTTAGCTATGTCCTGTGAAAATTTGAGAAAAATTCATTAAAACCCGCAGGAGAACAACTCGTTTGAAAATCAGTAATTGCCGTAAAATTCTTCGGGAGAAAATTGAATTTGAATATTACATTTTCAATGTTTTTCTTATTGCAGCGAAATGTATTTTATTAAATAACTCTGCGAGTTTTCAACATTTTTCGTCCAAACTTGGTCAGATAGTAGAACTAGTCTCATGCTTTCATGGAAACCAATAAAAAAATTTGGGGCAAAATTAACACTCAAAGGTGTTCTGTAACCTTAAACAGTGTTATAGTAGTGTCAGATTTTCAGTCCATGGAGACTGCGCATGCAGAACATTTGTATTTTTCCGTGTGTATAGCCATGTATGATCGACGCAAAAATCGGCATATCTCATTGACGGAAAAATCGGTATATCTCAATCGAGATCTCAATAACGAAAGAATTTACAATAAAAGCACTCAATGCCATTCCGTGTCAGGTTTCAAAGTATAAAATGATGGAATGTAGACGTTTGTACCTTGTACAGTTTTCTCTGGAGACCGCGCAGAACTGGTCTCCTCCGCAGGCATCTAGCGCCTAGCGCAGAACATTAGTCTTGCTATACGGCGTGAAATTGCCGTCTCACGGAAGTGAACGACCAAATCAATTTTTTTTATTAGACGGCCGCATGTGTCGAAATGTGAGCCATACGAATGTGAAAGTAGAGCCATTTGTCTTTAATATCTTCGAAATTCTACCCAGACAACTGTGTATTACAGGAATCAATCCAATGATGACAGACAGGCGCCCTATGGGCTTAATTTGTTTTATATACATAACTCGCCGTTTAAAGGTCATGTATTTATATCCATGCCACACATATTCATCTATTCACCTATTCTATAATAAGATTATTTCGTAAACTACATCATTCTTTCATCAATGAGCAATAATTTTGCAAGACTTGTTGCAATAGGTTTGCGTCCCCCTTTAATTAGAGACCTTACGATTTAGGACGGCCACGGGACGGCAACGGCTACCAATACAATATATCATTGAAAAGAATTGAATAATTACAATATATGAATAATTTAGACATTGTCCTTCGCTCTGTTTACAACGCCAAATCACATATTTTCACGTCTTGATACAACGGCTGCATTTCAAGCCGCAACAAGTCCAACTTCAAACTGGGTTCAGCAGAACTCTTCCCAACCATAAAACCCATGTCTTTGCTACCATTTATTTGGAGTTTGTTTGGCCATCGTCGCGTTGCCGTCCTAAAATCGTAAGGTCTCTAATTAAGTCCCCAGGTGCAACCTTGATCAATTTTAGTGTAAAAATGGTAAAATGTCGCTCTCTGTGTAGGAGTTTGGATAATGAAATACGACTAGTAATTCGTGGTCAAACTAACGTTGGTTTAGAAGGCCGACAGGTAAATAATAAACAAATTTGACTGACATTGTTTACGTCGCTGTTTGTGATGTTACTCTGAGTGTGTATCCACACCGGGCAAGCTTGAAAAATATGCTTGGCCACAACACCAACACAAAAAATCATGATTATTAGATTACATTAATGTCGAAGGAACTAGACTCGGTTCCGAAATATTACATACTCGAACCGTCCTGACCGCGTAGCTCAGTTGGCAGAGCATTGGGCTGGTATCCAAAGGTCCTAGGTTCGATTCCCACCGTGGCCATGCAGATATAGTTTTCAAGCTTGCCCGGCGTGAATACACACTCAGAGTAACACCACAAACATCATATTCACTTGAGTACACAACACCAACACAAAAAAATTGTTTACGTCGTTGCAACCAATTCTCAAACTCATTAATAATTTATGAGTAAATTAGCCAACCATGCATATTGGCTTTATTTTGCTCACATGATATAATACTGGATGCCTGATGAAGTATATTGATCCTGACCTAGGACTGGATCAAAATTAATTCAGTCCTTGGACTGGATCAGAATTAATTAAGTAGTGATGTTATATGTAAACAACTCGTTTGAGTGTTTCATCAGGGGATCCAAACACGAGAAAACTGTATGAAACACGAGCGCGAAGCGCGAGTGTTTTATTGTTTTCGAGTGTTTGGTCCCCTGATGAAACACGAGAAACGAGTTGTTTACACAACATCTCAAACGAAAACATTTAATTGGCTTATATATATTATTATAGTATATTGTTGTGTTTTGACTTGAATTTGTAATTAGGATCTCAGTTATTAGATGAAAACCGTTTTTCATCTAACAACAGTGATGGTATATGATTTTTAGCGTGTTTCCTTGCGGTATCCAACCTCAATGATGTGACCAATTAGGGTGAGTTCATTCGCTAATTTGCTCATGAATTATTAATGAGTTTGAGATTTATTCGTACGAGATGTCATTTCAAATCCTCCAATGGACCTTTCCCCTTATAACTAAAATTTCGATCTAGACAAAAATTTCATCACAGCTTGAAAGAGAATCCCAAAATTAGTAATATTCCAAAGTTTTGTTGCAAAATCTTGTAAAATGCGGATAATATAGCCATGTGAAGTTTGCCGTTTTTCAGTCATTTTGTATTACAAACGGGAAATTGACATCCGATTCGGGTGTTGGGTCTCCAATTTCCCGTTTGTAATCTAAAATGACTGAAAATTGCAAACTTTGCAAGGCTCTATTTTCCTCATTTTACAACATTTCACAACGAAACTTTGGAATATTACTAATTTTGTGATGCTCTTTCAAGCTGTGATGAAATATTTGTCTAGACTTGCCTAGATCAAAATTTTGGTTATAAGGGGAAAGGTCTATTCGGACTGGACTAGATTTCGAGTCCTCCCATTTTGACCCAGTCCTCGGCTTCGCCTCGGACGTGATCAAATTGTGCGGACTTGAAATCTAGTCCAGTCCTCATAGTCCTCGGATTTGAAATATTACATCACAACGTTAGATAACTCACATTCCTAGTTACTAGCTTACAGAATCATAGAATAGGACAACGGTGACCAAGATTGTTTACCATTTACATGGAAAACCCATCCGGTTTGAAATTGTGCTAATTACCGGTAAGCAAAATTTCGGATAGAAAATCCCATTCGGATTATGCCGGCGCTTTCCATTTAGAGTGACTGACCGGAAGGCAGTGAAGTATTTAATAATTCCAATTGTTAAATCGAGAAGAGCCTGGAACTGGTGAAAAAATAAAAAAGATGTAAATGGAACAAAATTTACCGGTTGAAACGTTGCAATCGGTAAGAGAGGACAACCTTTTCAAACAAACCGTTCATTCCGGAAAAGTTCCGGTTGGGCCGTCGAAATATGCTTGTTCCATTTACTTTCCGTATGGAATCACCGGAATTTCCATGTAAATGGTAAACAACCCATGCATTAGAATTATGTATAAGAGTTATTCATTCATGTAGATAATTCTAAAGCTTAGTTACCTTTATTCTATTCTGTGCTTCTGTAGTTAGAACAATGAATGATAATGGACCATTTGCATTATAGACTAAATTTTGATCTAGACAAAAGTTTCATCACAGCTTGAAAGAGCATCACAAAATTAGTAATATTCCAAAGTTTCGTTGCGAAATGTTGTAAAATGCGGATAATATAGCCTTGCGAAATTTGCAATTTTCAGTCATTTTGTATTACAAACGGGAAATTGATGCCCCAACACCCGATTGGGCTGTCAGTTTCCCGTGCGTATAATACAAAATGACTGAAAAACGGCAAACTTCGCATGGCTATATTATCTGCATTTTACAACATTTCGCAACGAAACTTTGGAATATTACTAATTTTGTGATGCTCTTTCAAGCTGTGATGAAATTTTTGTCTAGATCAAAATTTAGTCTACAATGCAAATGGTCCATTAGGCATGTGAATTATCTCAAATTGTGGATTGGGAGTGAAATAATTGATCTTCTCTCAACCCGTCAGAATTCAGTATTTTTATTGTTTATGCAAATACTCAAGTTTGCTGAGCAAATAGTTCGAGTCCCTTATGTTAGTTGTGTTTATATGTGATGTTCTATGTGTTATAATGTGTGATTGCTTTATTTCTCGCTGCGTTTATAGGCGTTGGAAGAAGCGCAACAAGCCATTCAACAGCTGTTTGAAAAGATTAATGATATTAAATATAAAGCCGAAAAGTCAGAACAAATGGTAAATTTAGCCGATTGATGCATAGCGTGGTCACAGAATAGGAAGTTATAGCAGAAGCGTAACTCTAGTCGTTTCCCTTATTGTTTGACGTCCACGAAAATTTTAACTCGCTCACGCCAATCCACGCCATCCTGGCTAGTACAGCCGGAAGTTTTTATCAGGTTTTGGTAGGTACAAAGTGCCGGTTGTACTAGCCAGGATGGCGTGATTGATGACGAATCGCTTGTAAAAACGCGGACAAATACTTGCTTGAGTTACGCTTCTGCTATACCTTCCTATTCTGTGGCGTGGTTTTGTTTTGTATGATTTTAATCATAAAAACGGACAATGGTATGGTATGGTATGATGTGGAATGGTATGGTGTAGTGTTGTAGTAAGGTGTGTTGTGTTGTGGTAAAGTATGGTATATGGTATGGTGTGGTAGAGTATGGTAAGGTATGTTATGGTATGATATGGTATGGTATGGTATGGTATGGTGTGGTGTGGTGTGGTGTGGTGTGGTGTGGTAGAGTATGGTAAGGTATGGTATGGTATGGTGTGATGTGGAATGGTATGGTATGGTGTAGGGTTGTAGTACGGTGTGTTGTGTTGTGATAAAGTACGGTATATGGTATGGTGTGGTAGAGTATGGTAAGGTATGTTATGGTATGATATGATATGGTATGGTATGGTATGGTGTGGTAGAGTATGGTATGGTATGGTATGGTATGATATGATATGATATGATATGATATGGTATAATGTGATTTCATATGGTATGCTGGTTTGGTATGGTTTGGAACAATTTGAATATTTTATAGTTTTTCTAATGTCTAGGTGAAAGAAATCACAAGAGACATCAAACAACTCGATTATGCAAAGCGACATTTAACTCATTCTATCACCACTTTAAATCATTTACATATGTTGGTTGGAGGTGTCGAAAGTTTACAGTAAGTTCAATACTTGGGGGCATCTCGTTCTATAGAACTAATAGTAGTAGACAGATTTAGATCGCGGACGTCAAAGACGACGTGAAAATGACGTGTTGTGCCCATGTATGGACATGACACGCCATTTTGACGCTATTTTCACGTCGTCTTTGACGTAGATAGATAGATAGATAGATAGATAGATAGATAGATAGATTTTATTTTGACACGCTAACTACGTCAATTAAAAACATTGATTTCCACGAAGGGCGTGTGTTCAAAAGTTATTATATATAAGTGTTGTTATGACTCTTATGGAATCAAATAAAAGAAAATAGAAATAATCTAACTGTTCCAATTGACAAAATTGACAATATAGACAACTAACAAAACATATAGATAACTATTTACAATAAAGGATACGTCCGCGTCCTCGATCTAAATCTGTCTATTAGCAGGAATATAACGTAAATTTATGTACATTTATTAGACCTAATAATAATAATAATAATAATTAACAATTATTGAATGAGGTTGAGCACGATATGAAGAATTATCAAGCCCGAAATTTGCCGTTATCAACCGAAGCCGAAGGCTGCGGTTGATAACGGCAAACTGTGGGCTTGATAATTCTTCATATTGTGCGAAAACCGAATTCAATAATTGTTTTATTATTTATTTAAAAAATTCAAAACAAACATTTGTATTTCATTTGTATTAAGGAAAAAACAATTCCTTAGTACTTCGGCAGCCGTCGTCGCGTCATATCAATGACGTCAGCGAGTCAACATGATTCTCGTCGTCGTCATAGTAATATGGCGCAAACGCGTCCAAATTTTTTTCATATTGACTTTTTGACGTCATTTTGCTAATATGAATGTGAAAAATCCGTATTTGGTTAGCCATTGAGTTGATATGACAATTTCACAGTTGGCTGTTAGCCAATCAGAAACCAGGATTTTTTTAAATAACTGAGCTACAGAGAGACAGTTGTCGAGCTCTAACCAACTGAGCTACAGAGAGACAGTTGTCGAGCTCTAACCAACTTAGCCTGCGAACAGGCTCTCAAGCTGAATTGAGAGCCTGCATCGATGACTAATGAATTTGAATATCTGCCCCGTAACGTTCGTTTTTCCAAATATGGAATGTCTATCCTTATATGGTGTTGTTTACAACTTTCGTGCAAACTAAATTTAGACCGTGCAAACTAAATTTAGACTGTACAGTTTATACTGTTTTTCAAAATATAAGATATTCAAGCAAAAGTTCAAATGTTTTAAATACTGTTTTCTCAAAACAGAACATTTCGTGCTTTGAGATAAGACGGCCAAGACCAATTTGATCAGTTAATGTGTTTTTTATGCATAATGCTTCAGCAGTTGACATATATAGAGCTCAGCGGAAACATATAAATTATAGCATCTGACCAATGAGAATTTCGCGTCACGATTTGAGACGCAGATATTCAAATTCATTAGTCATCGATGCAGGCTCTCAATTCAGCTTGAGAGCCTGTTCGCAGGCTATAACCAACTGAGCTACAGAGAGACAGTTGTCGAGCTCTAACCAACTGAGCTACAGAGAGACAGTTGTCGAGCTCTAACCAACTGAGCTACAGAGAGACAGTTGTCGAGCTCTAACCAACTGAGCTACAGAGAGACAGTTGTCAAGCTCTAACCAACTGAGCTACAGAGAGACAGTTGTCTAGCTCTAACCAACTGAGTTACAGAGAGACAGTTGTCGAGCTCTAACCAACTGAGCTACAGAGAGACAGTTGTCGAGCTCTAACCAACTGAGCTATAGAGACACAGTTGTCGAGCTCTAACCAACTGAGCTACAGAGAGACAGTTGTCGAGCTCTAACCAACTGAGCTACAGAGAGACAGTTGTCGAGCTCTAACCAACTGAGCTACAGAGGCCAGTTGTCGAGCTCTAACCAACCGAGCTACAGAGAGACAGTTGTCGAGCTCTAACCAACTGAGCTACAGAGAGACAGTTGTCGAGCTCTAACCAACTGAGCTACAGAGAGACAGTTGTCGAGCTCTAACCAACTGAGCTACAGAGAGACAGTTGTCGAGCTCTAACCAACTGAGCTACAGAAGACAGTTGTCGAGCTCTAACCAACTGAGCTACAGAAGACAGTTGTCGAGCTCTAACCAACTGAGCTACAGAAGACAGTTGTCAACCTCTAACCAACTGAGCTACAGAAGACAGTTGTCGAGCTCTAACCAACTGAGCTACAGAAGACAGTTGTCAACCTCTAACCAACTGAGCTACAGAGAGACAGTTGTCGAGCTCTAACCAACTGAGCTACAGAAGACAGTTGTCGAGCTCTAACCAACTGAGCTACAGAGAGACAGTTGTCGAGCTCTAACCAACTGAACTACAGAAGAAATCCAGTTGTCGAGCTCTAACCGCAAGTTCATGTATATATAATCCTGATAATTCTGATAATTTGTCTTCAATCCTGATAATCCTGATCATTTGTTTTCCTTTGTTGTGTTCATTTGCTCTCTTGAAATTGTGAATGTTTTGTAATCGATTTCGTAATTCAAGACTATTTTATTAAAAATACTATATAGCATAGGGTACATCATGTTAAAACTAATTTAAGCTCTGTTGTATTGTAAACAACGAAACGATATCCTGAAAAAAACTATTTTCAAGGGGTTTTAATAAAGGTATCTTATTCAGCTTATCAACGACTCATGACTGCTCATAACGGCGCATGA